AATCCAGACTGGGCGCTTTCTGGAAGATCTGTGCCTCAAGCCTCAAGCATAACGAAAAGAATACTTTGGCCAGGTAAGCAACTTTTGCTCAATATAAAGATCAATAGAAGAAAAACCTGCAGGGTTTTTACCAGCAGGACACGCAGAGATGGTGCCATGCAGTATAAAAACGTCAATAAAACCAGTTTAGAAGGACCGCTTCTGGTAGTTTACAAAATCTATACGCAATTTAAAATATAGATTTTTGAACTATCTGTGCAACAAACTCTCAATGTGTGTTTAATTTCCTTGTAGCCAGGAAGCACACCACATACTGTGCATCAAAGTGCCTTGATACAACTACAGGAGAACCCCTCCTCAACTGGCTGCAGGTGGGCAGGACCCAAGAACCCCAAGAACAAGCTAGAAAAATGGAATCTGTGCCCAGATCTGGAAAAAAAAGCTGCCATGGGGCCCTAGCAGAACTGACCAAAATTGTGATTGCATGGAAAGGAGAGTTCATACAAGCAAGGTTGGTTTGGCTCAAAGTTCTCTATGACGGTGATTTTGGGGCTGCAAACGACCACCAATTCTCAAACTTCTTAAAAGTACTTGTACACATCTGTTCCCAAACAGTGAAAACATTACACAGACATCTTTGTTCCACGACCAGGTGCAGTACCTTTGCACTTTGTACACCAGAGTGTGGGGAGTTGCTATTCTGAATGCTGTCTTTAAGCGATCAGTTTTTGGGTGCCCTTACTGCCTGCATAATCTAAAGCAGGAGAAAAAAAAAAAAAAAATCCAGGACTGCTTTTCAAAAACGAGAAAGGAAAATCCGCAATATTGCCCAGCTATTACCTGGAGATCCTGCCCCAAACTGGATGCAAAGTAGCCTAGTGACTGTTCTACACTAAACCTGTATTTTACTTGGAGAAACATCTGACTCTAGACCTATCTTCAGAGTAATGAAGCATATTTTAAAGGCAGCCATGTTACAACAGCATGCCAAGCAGGAGCCTGTCAGTTCAGTACCGCGACACTTGCGCCCAATGGCAGCTACTAAGAGCAGTAATAGCGGTGCAGGTGTAGCAGTCCATTCTGTTTCTTTTTTAAACAAATGAGAAACCACTGGTTAAATTACTATCTTCTGGCATGAAGCATAGCCAATAGCTGTTACACCAAATGCAGCCATAAGTACACATACTGAAATGTTCCTGTGAGCACATCTTGTCAGGAACTAGCAACAATTCTTTTTACCTTGAAAATCTCCTACACAGGAGATGATGATTGACATTAGATACATGTATCTATTAGCTTGTTCAGAATTATTGAACTATTGCCCATATCTTTGATAACACGTATGGTATGAATACAAAATTCCAGTTCTTTATTTTTTTGGAAACATTATCCTTTACAATAAGGAAGGCAAGATAAGTGACACTTGTGAAACAGCTCTGACACACAGGAACCCTTTTTCAAATTTTAGCAACACTTGACAAGCACAATAATAACTGGCAACCTGTTCTGATACTGCTGAGATTAGAAAAAAATCCTTCTCCTACTTTTTTCTAAAAGAACAACAGACCAAGACAGACTCCAGTCTAGAACGACAGGTTTATCAAATCAGTCAGACAAAACAGAGGTTTTTGTTAAATTTAGAAAGGCAATAATAATATTCACAGCTATCCTAAGGTTTTAAATTGTGAAACAGATGTCATGGGAAATAGCACAAAATTGTGTGCTTCTATGAGTTAATAGTACATCACACTTATTACTTAAAAGCCCCAAGAGAAAAGAGAATTTAAAATAAAAAATGTTCAGTGTGCATACTATTAAGTTAAAATGTTGAAAAAAAAGGGAAAATACACACCCCCAGGCATACTTTAAAGCCTACTGTGGTCATTCAGTAGTTACTTTGATTTATCATAACATTTCTTGAAGTGTATTACAAGAAAAACAACTACTTGGTATAGGCTGAGATCCGCTTATTAGAAGAACTTGCTTACTAGCACAAATACTAAGAAATGTCTCTTTCCACAGACTAAACAGTTTTCTTTGTATTACTGGCTCTTGCTTTAAGAAAGCACTGAACATGGAGAATGTTTGTGTCTTGAAGGCTTACCTTCCAGTAAGTCCCTTGCCAGACCTGGTTCCGCTCCTGTGGACCGAACAAAGTCTGACAGGACTGCATCCATATCAAGAGTCATGGGCTCATGTGGGGCTGCTGCCGGGCACGCAGCAGCAGAAGCACTCGACGGTTCGCTGCAGGACTCGCTAGAAGGTAGCCATCTGCCAAGGGAAAAAAAAACAGTATTTTAGAATATACTCCAAAGCGATAGAAACCAAATGTTTCCCTTCTTTTCCAAGCAAGACTGGTTAAAATCATAAAACATCCAAGTTACAATGTTTTAATAAACAGCATTTGCATTGCACTTCTGCCTCAGTCTGGAGGCTGCTGATCACTCAGGCTTTCAGGAAAGTTTTGTTTTTCCTCAACACTTCATGCTTTTATTGATTTATCTTCTGGGAAGCTTGTCCACACTTCTGCAGCTGAAAGGCTCATGCTCATTCAAAGCACCGAAGTCCTACATTGTCCATGTGGTCAGGGCTGCTCACGTGCTCCAGCTGAGCAGGTAAGTGTTTGGGTAAATCACAGCTCTCTGCCCTTACATGCTAACGCTAGCATACACATACATCAGAACATAGTATTTGGTTTTTTATTTCCCTTGCCAACACCCCCTGTGTTATTTAAAGCTGCCTCACCTCAAGGATGTTGGGTATACAGAATCTGCATCTTCTGCCCTCACTTCTGAATCAGCGATGCCTTCCTCACAAGAGGACAGCGAAGGTTCTTTAGCTTCAGTATCAACTTGTGCTTCACAGAAATGATTAAAAATCTTCCTGAGAAACTCTATCAGTACAACTCTTTTCCATATAATCATAATGATGACAATCACACCAAAAGGAATGGCACCAACAGCCACTCCCAGCCAAAAGGTTGCTCTCCAGCTCATCATTATTCCTGAAGCTGGTAGGCCAGTCTCATGTGACATCTCAGGAGAGGCCTCGGAGCCAACGCCTGGCTGTGGCTGCGTGACCTGCAGTGACAGCCTCTTTCATTGTTGCAAAACTTTTGAGACATCACAATCAAAAACACACCATGTCACCATGCAGACCTTGTGCAGACCTGCAGCTTTCAGTCCTTAGCCAGCAGCATTCCGGATCTCCACGCCTGACAGAATGCATATACTGTCTTGGAACACCCTGCATGTGTTTTTTTTTGAAAGAAAAGTTTACACGGAAGATGCTACATACAGCAGCACAGTCTGAAGTGCTTGACTTTATGCACAGAGCCAGCCGCAATTAAATGGATTTTATTTAGTAAGTTCCAACTTGTATTAAAAGAAAAAAAAAGTCAGGTAAACAACAATTCTACAGACTACTACAGGTGTGCATCTGATACATTCCTAACCTCCTCTATTGCTGTATTTCTACGGTTGAATTTCCACTGGTGAAAGCACTTAAATCAGAAACACTTGCAAGAGGTACTCAATATAAACACTTGGTCAGCTGGGAGCGGCCGAAAGGAAGGGCAGAAGGGCTTGGTAGGACTTTGGAGAACACTTGTGTTCTCTGACAGATGGAATTAGAGCTCAGGTTACACAGTTAAGGTACACACGGGTATTTAGTAAAAACAATTAAAACCTTTACCTAATTCCACCCCCAAAGGGGGGGTGGGGGAAGAAAAAAGGATTCAGCCCACTATCCTGGCTTTCTAAAGTAGTTACTGCTTAATACCTGATTAATGACAAGAGACAAACACATTATTTTTCCTCCTAAGTGAAAGACATCAGGTTTCCTTTACAGGACCCTTTGCTTGTGCAAGGCCCCGCGAGGCGCCGTCCTCAGCAGCTGCTGCAGGCTGCTCGTACTCGCCCCTCGCCGAGACGCCACCGTCACACCAATACGTGACAATGACTCACGGCCCAGCAGCAGCACGGAGCGCCTAATGGAATCACAGTCAGAGCTGAGGAAATGCAAAAATGTTCTTGTTTTTGTACAGATAATGACTTTGAACACAAAACAAACAAAAAAAGTGTGCAATTAATTCTTGTGTAGAATATTTTAATTGTAGTTTAAAAATGCTCCTGAAAGTGCATTTGTGCATTCACTAAAAACAAACTCAAGAAAAAGAGAGAGAAGTCTTTTTAATTTTCCGCCACTGACAATTTCTCTTCTATTTTGTCAAATGAAACAATTTGGAAGTGAAGTGAATCACATATCACAACTATGGCAGCGCCTGTGAGTCACAGTCCTACTCTATATGAAATTAGAAAGTTGCTTTTAGGAGAAAGAGGAGGAACAGGGAGTTATTATTGTAATGTATGTGTTGTCTTGTATTTATTGATAACCATGATAGCACAGTTTTCTCCTGTGGTTTTTCAACAGTTCGAAGAAGCAATCTACCAGTGCACTTTCTTATGGCACAATCACCTTGGGATCCACTAGGAGGTAAAGAAAGCCCAGCCTCAAGTGATAAATAACACACAGATGTTAAGGGACTTTCTCTTGCCAAATCCATGGCTAACTGACAACCATCTATCCTACTGTATTTTGTACCTTTTCCTGAATAAAGGAAACCCATCTTTCTAGATGATGTTCTCTAGCCAGTTGTGCTAGACATGCTACTAAGACATCAAGGCATTAAAAACAGCTAGGCTACAGGTGTCTCCACATTTCTCAGTCTGTACTACCGTGGAAATATTGTAAAGAAAAAAGGATTTAGATAAATAAGACCTGTACTTTTGCTTTCATGCCTGTTATTCATCATTGGCCAAAGTTTGCCTTTAAACATGAATTTTATCATTCCGTCTGGCAGATTCAGTTGCGACTTTACCACATGCCCAAGGCAAAAAATAACATGGAAACTTCTCACAGCAGAAGCAGGTGGTATTGGTTGGCTATTGCTTGCCTCACAGCCACAGGGGAATGAATTGGGGAAAAAGCTGGGAACAACTTCATTTCACTGTCCCCCTCTGCGAAGAAGCCAGATCTTTTCTTACTCCATTTCCTACTCTTCAAGGATACAAGAGCAAATACACAAAACTAAAATACACGAAGTCTGCAGAGACCATTTCTCTTCCCATGAAACAGCATGAGCGATCCCCAAATGACTTCCCCCTTGCCTGTCTCTACTCTGGTCACCTACAGAAACAGATGTTGTACAAAAACACATCTGTGTGTGCCCCAGTGCGCACACATGCAAAAAGCACCTTCTTCTCATGATTATTTTCAGTGATATTGCTCTGAAACTGCAAGTCCAAGGATTTGTTTAAAGTAAGTCGTATCAGTAAAACAGCCTTCCCCTGTATATTCCTACCGATACAAGTAGCTTTTGAACCGCTACAGTTAGAGGAAGATTCAAAACAGCTTGAAAGTTAAACTCCACGTAATGCCGATATTCTGAGCCCATATTCTGAGCCCTTTGGTTCCCCCAAAGGAAGTTCTTTCTAGTGCTAATGAATGTTTACTGTCCTGATAGAGAACTGGCCATCTCTGCGTTCACAGCGAATGGAAACACAGCCCATGTGTAACTGAGCCTGTGAGAAGTTTTGTTTTGTCAAAAACCAAAAATTTAAAATGAAATACTATCAAGGTTCCAGTACATTATATAAACGATAAAGAGCCATATAGCTAGAGAACACCAGCCTTGTATTGGATGCCAAGGGAGCACACCCAGCAAAAACCTCCCAAGCCCACAGCCATGGAAAGAACAAGCTCTCTCCATTCCTAGGGACTCCGGCCTACGTTCCTGTAGGTCCTGTGTACTCCGGACAACCCTAGGACACCTGCACAAAAATAACCATGCTCACTCCCACAGCATGGATATCTTGATTCTTCCTGTTGCTCATCAGATCCAAACTGACATCACAACCTGAATTAACAGTGCTCACTCAGAGAAATGCGTATGAAAAACCCACCAGTGATCACTGTTCAGTGTCCTGGGTTACCTGGAGATGAAATAACATCTGCAGAGTTGTGCTGATCGGAGCTCTGCTCCTACACGATTTCCTTGCAAACTCTGGATCTCACCAGTGCAGAATTAAGCACATCCAGCACCACAGGAGACAACTAAAACCTCTGCCGCACATACAACCAAACAGCATCTACTGCAGAAACTCATTCCTCATACGCTGTCAAGGCCTCACCACAGGCCTGAAACACTATAAACAGGATGTGCTGCCATCAAACCTACAAATATTTACATATATAGGAGAAAAAGAAAAATATATACTATATTTTATTTGTACTACCTCACTCCCTACAGAAAGCCCAAATGATGAATACAGTGTTCTCTGAAAGCAAGGAAGAAATTTGGTAGATCCTTCCCTGTACAGATTTGGAGTACCTATATTTTTACAGAAAGGGCAGGTTTCTCACATTCTGGAGTTTAGGGGAAAAAAAGAGAAAAATAGACTTTCAGAAATTATTCTCTTTGCCAGAGAACTACTATTAGCTGTGAAAACACACCCAGATGGAATAGGAAAGAAAGACTGCTAAGCAAGAAAAGAAAACAAATTGTAAGGACGGAGGCAGTGACTCATTACAAACTACCACCTCGGAGCCCAGATGGCTACCAGACTTCTTGTTCTCCCTGGCTGAACACAGCCCTTCTACCCTTGAACCATCCCCACCACCACTTCTGGTGGCTGGTCTAAGCCTTAACGTGGGAGATGAAATGCAGTCAACAGAGTTAAAGCGTTAACAGACCCTGGGAGCAGAACTAACAATCACCTGCCTTAGACCTCCCTGCCAAGAATGAGAGCTCCTGTCGTGGTTAACAGCACAGACACCTATGGGGCCTTTACTCCAAGGGCCTTGTTCTATAAAGCCACAACACTATTCTCCCAGGCTTGTTTCTTCACCCTGTAGAATTACAGATTTCCTTTCAAAAGTGTCACACACAAACAGCACTTGGCACTCCACTTCAAGCGCACATTCAAATTTGCTGCCTAAACAATTCCATATTTAGACAATGTGAAAACAAAACTAAAGGTTTAGATACAGCAGTCTACAAATATATAGCATAATGAGCGACGAATGAGGATAATCTGATGTTAGCTGTAAGAAGCATCTTTTTAATGGTATTTAAAAGAATAATGAATATTTCTAAATGTCGGAAGTTAATAAAACATAAAATTTATACCTGTTAAAGTCTCATTTGTATTTGACTTTATTCTCCTTTAACTATCCCTCAAAA